GCCACGTCACCAACTATTTATTATACATCTACAAAGGCATGTTCAATACAAGACTGTGCCAAAGTCCAGGCTTTAGAGCACACTCCTGAAAAAAGGCTGAACATTTTGATGACAATTATTTATTGGTTGCAGTATTACCCTGAGGAAAACTGAAACCAGAAACCAGGGCAAGAAAAATACCCAGCTGATTTCTGGTTTTTGGGAGGTTTCCTCAGAATAAAAACAAAAAAATTTCAATGATCATGACAAGAAAAGTAATAACTATATTGGCATAGGAGTCACAGGAACTGTCAGATGCACATGTGAAATTTTATTCACACCCAAGTACAAAACCCAGAGCATTTGCACTCTGTTAAGAAAACATGTCTGCAATACTGAAGGCCACTTGTGATATTGGCAACCATGAGTACTAACGCAAGTTTCTGTCCTGGTGAGTGAACTGGTCAAGTTTTGCAGCTGCAGGACTGCAAAGGACAGGATCATTTTGGCTTTCTAGTTAGTGCTAGCCAGCTACAAAAAGATCCAGCTGGGATCCATGGTTCCTGGGATCCAAGGTTTGATACAGTATAATGACTTCAGAGCCATGCCACTTTTAACACAAAGCTGGCAAAACTGGAATGAATCCCTTCTCTCACACCACAGTATACTAGCTGCTTAGCTGTGCCATGACACCTTTTTTTGGGCCATGTTTTCAACATGGATGAATAACTAACCCAAATTATTAACCACCCTAAGCAAGTGGTTTTAAGGGTAGTGCATCTGAAAGAGCTGGAGAAGAAGCAGTTGTGGATAGGAATACTGAAGTACTGGCTGCATTTGCTTTCTATTCCAAAACTCAGGGTACTGTTCCTACCAGACAATGTGCAATGGTTGCAGTTTCTCCTACTATGTTGAATAGGAAGGTCTGTTTTAAAAGATAGCATGGTAACACTGCTGTGGCTTTGGAACTCCCAAATCTCTCTGTTACATCCTTGCCAAGGTTTGAGAACACTATCAGGAAAGACGAAAACACCACCAACTGACCACTGTATGAAAACTGTAAGAATTAAGCTCTTCTGAGAGCAATCAAGCCAAGCCTGTCCCAGCGCTCCAACAGGAAGCAAAGAAAGGATGCTGCAGAATCAGGACTATTGTGTTACTCAACATATTAACCCAGAAGTATCTGCTCGACTAGTAGCTACAAAACAGAACTTGTACCAAATGGCAGAGATGTTGTGGTCCAGCAATTATTATATACACTTAGGAAAAGAGCACAGAGAAAATTCCCAAAGCTTTTTAGTCTGTGATGCCATTATTTTACACTCACCATAGAAAGCAGGCCAGGAGCAGAGTGCTTCAGCTTGAAGTTTTCATCTGCAAAAGGGCCCCTATATATGCTGGCTACTCCAGTGCCGTCTCCCTGCATGACAGAGGTACCCAGTCAGCTACAGCATTTGTTCTGTAGCAACTGCTATAGAACAATTCAATTAAAAAAATAATTTAAAATTTCCAATCAAGAGGAAAGGGCAAAAAGGATTTTGTACTGCCATTTACATACACCAGCAGTGAACACATTCAGTGTTTTATTTCTGAACAAGAACAGCAAATGGTTTCTAACTACACAGATCATTGTTCACAATTCATATGTTGGCAGAAGTCCATGCAGATGGTAAGTTTAAGTCCAAGCCTCCCAGAGCAAAATGGAGGCTACAGATTGCTTGGTACAGACCCATCAGATCTTGGAAGGGAAAAGGGAGGAGACACAGAAGTATGGGATGGTGTGACAAAGAAAGCAGAAGTGGTTACATGGCAAAAGTTGGCTTACAGTGCTCTTATGTATTTCACCTTATCTTCTGTGACTTTACAGGAAATAGGAAAGCAATCTCTCTGTTCTGCAAGGGTAGTTTCTAAAATAAAGATTTTTTGTTTATGTTTATACTTTCTACTAAGCCCTTTTGCTCTACCTGCCCAGCCCTTGCTTGTTTCTCTCCTGCTCTCTGTAGTTTACTTAAACTTTTGGCTCTGAGACAGAAAGTTGCACCCTGTCTCAGGGGTCAGTGTGACTGCACTTGCTCCCCAGGTGGCTTTGTAATAAATACAACATATCAATTCCAAATACTGGAGCAATCTGTAAAGCCTGCTGAGATGCAGTGGAAGTAATGTACTGGTTCATCTGAGCAGTGTTACAATTAGCAACTACCATAGAGTCTGGTGTTGCTGAACTGCCTGCTGTGTGGTCATTTCTCTCAGAGACTTTCATATAACCAAGCTGTATATTAAAAAAGCTTTATCAGTTCCCTCATATTTTTAAATGCTTCCAAAATTAAAATAATTTTACTGGATCCTAGAACAGTGAAGAGATCCTGTGACCCCCTCAGCCTTACTCATATATTCTTCTTCTCCCCGTGTCAGAGCACAACCACCATTGTGGGTGCAAAGACTTTTCTATTTTGAGATAATTTAGTAACAAAAGGTTAGTTTTGATTTAAATGACCTCTTACATTACGCACTGGGTTCTGTATTTAGGATCTATCTACAATGTGAATTGAAATTCACAGAGGTTTTTGTCTGGATGAGGACATCAGAAGGGGGAAGGAAAACAGGGCAAACAAAATTTTTCAAGGTTTGAAAGCTTCCAGGGTTTTGACAGGCTATTGCAGAGAGAAAATATTTTGGGAAGAATGCATGTTCACAAGGCTCCAGATTCCTTTTCAAGATGTTATTTGTCTCTTGCAGTAGGATGGCAGCAATGCTATGAGCATACCTCCAGTTACTACTGGATACCTCAGAAAAGAAGGAGATCCCACAAATCAGCAAAGACCCTTGGAAACCGTAGCATGTTATACCATAGAGGAAAAGGACAAAAAGAGTACCAGAGTACATACATTTACGAAGTCACCTCCTTGGATCATGAAATCCTTTATTACCCTAAAGAAGTAAAACAACACTTAGTTCCCAGTGGCCAAAAGCCTCAAGAAGCTCAGTGTAACATGAAAAGGGGTTCTGCCTTGCTGTGCAACAGAAGTTAACACAGTCTGTGAATGCTGCAGCCTAAAATCTACAACAAATATTAACTGGTTGATATGAGGTCATTTAGGACTCATTGCTTTTGTACAGAGATAGTGATTGTGTGATAGATGCCTTATCTGACGTAGCACACCAGAAACAGGGGATTCCTCCCAGTGGGGTGGACAGCATGCCCAGGTCCCCCAAAGACATAGAATGACATTAGCCACAATCTGCAAATGTCTCCAATACCACTAATAGCTCAAGGCAGGTCACAAAACTCCATATGGCTCAGGCTGCTATTTAGTGTGCAAAAAACAGTATATGATTTACCTGTGGAAAGTGCTTCCTTTATAACCTATAGGGACACCATCTTTCCTGTAAGGCAGTGAAAAGGAGAATTATTGCAACCTACTGGATATCCCAACACAAAATTGTCCCAACAATTCAGAGTCCCAAAGCGTTGCTGTGTACATTAGCAGCTGCCTTGAAATACAAACAAGTGCCACAGCCTCTCAGCTGCTGCTGTTGAAGGCAAAAAAAAAGCCTCAAGTGGGCTCTGCACATGAATGACTCTGTTCCCTATAACACCCACATCATCACCTTCACAGGATCCCACTGCAATGTGCAGGATGAGCAGGTGGGCTTTGCAGATAGGGCTTATAGAGCCACGTGGGCACAAAAAAAGTAATATCAGAAAGAGAAACCTGCCATCTCTGTGAGTCTCCAAGCCCCTCACAATTTCCGCAAAGCAGGTTTCTCTTCCATTTTGTACTAGTACAACATGAAAAAGTTCAAGACAAACCCTTTCTACCTCACCCAGCCCTGTTTCTCCAGTGGGACACTTAAAGGACATTATAATCCACTTACCTGAATTCACCTGTACAAAACTGCCTGGCAAACAAAAAGAGAGCAGAGTGTTAGGTGCATGTGGACTCCGAGGCCTGCACAAACTGGTGCACAGGATTTTCCTTATTGTGTCAGAGATGTTCCCAGAGAAACAGGAAATGGCAACTCCTTCCCCCTGCCATTTCAAAACATATTCTGTGCTCTTTGTAGTGAGGAGGTCAGAGAGTTAACACCAGGGTTGTAAGAGACCGTGAATATGGGGCAGATACTGTGTTTGACAGAGACCAGGGTATGTCCATCCTTCCAATGGAAGTGGGATTTCACATGGTGCATTCCTCAGTTGATGGCAGGAAAACAGGGTGGCCAGGAGACCTCCACCATGGCACAAGGCACTGTCTGCTCTAAATGCATGGAGCAAATCAGGAGGCTTCAAAGAGGGGGCAGAAGAGGACCCCTTCCAGCCAGACAGGGTCCCCTGAGAGCCCAGGATGCCACACAGCATCTCTGAGAACAGAGACACAAAGCAGGTGAAGCAGTTTGGGGTGGGAGTTAGCTAATCAGTTTGCTACCAAAAGCCATTCCTGCACCAGAAAGCCTTTGCAGTTCCAGTCCAGGCTGAGCTGCAGGAACAGTAGCTGCTCGTTACCTGAAGTTCTCTGCTGTTTTGGGCACAACATCTGCGAACAGCTCGATCTTCATGCGGCCGACCTCCTGAGCAGACGGGGGCCAGGTGAGTCTTCCAGGTCCCCTCACAGACAGACGCCTGCCGCCCGACCCCGAATACTCCCACAGATCCGGTCACCTCATTCACCCCCATTCATGCCCATCCCTCCAGGCCCCTCCTAACGTAGTGCTTCTCCTCTCCCCTGAGAGCCCTTCCCCACAGGCCTGCTATCCGTCTCCTGGCACCGCCCCTCCCAGCGCTTCCAGTTGCGGCCCCGCAAGCCCCACGTTGAACCCCCGCACCGCCTGCGCTCTCTCATCCCCACAAGACTCCGACATCCCCAGTTATCCCCGCAGTCCCTCCGCGGGCGCCGCCGCTCCGCCCTGGAGCACCCCCACCTGCCCGCCGATGGTTACATCGAAGAAAACCACGGGGTTGTTGGGATTCGCTGCCAGTGCCGACATCGCTGTACCACTGCCGGAAGCGGAAATGGCGGCGGAAGTGGAAACGGCGACGGAAGGCGAGACAGGGCCGGGCTATGGGCGTGAGGTTCTCCGGGATGTCTGGGATGTGTTCGGTGTGTCCAGACTGTGTCTGTGGTATCGGGGTGGCGTCCGGAGCTCCATCCTGCTGGGACAGCTCGGACTTCCCAGAGTAGACCACTGCTCGGCTGGGAAGACCTGCTGTTCAACTCCCTGACCTTCTGGGCACACGACGGCTGAACATGAGCCCAGTTGTGCCCAGGTGGGCAAGGGGGCCAGTGGGCTGTACCAGCCACAGTGTGGCCAGTGGAACCAGGGTAGTGACCACCTACCTGTAGTGAGGCGCCTCTAGTCCTGGGGTCAGTTCTTGGACCTTCACTACAAGAAAAACATTGCAGGGCAGGAGTATGTCCAGAGAAGAGAGTGGAACTGGGGAAGGGTCTGAAGTACAAGGAGCAGCTGAGAGAGCTGGGAGTACTCAGCCTGTAGAAAAGGAGGCTTGAGGGGACCTTTTTGCTCTTCACAACTCCCTGGCAGGAGGATGTAGTCATGTGAGGGTCAGGCTCTGCTCCTAGGCAACAAAGGACAGACAAGAGGGACTGGCCTCAAGTTGTTGCAGAGGAAGTTCAGGTTAGACATCGGTAAGAATCTCTGGAAAGTCTCGTCCAGCCCTGGCACAGACTGTCCAGAGTAGTGCTGGAGTCCCCATCCCTGAAAGGGTTTAAAAGCTGTGTAGATGTGGCACTTGGGGACATGGTTTAGTGATGGCCTTGCAAGTGGTGGGGGAGCAATTGGTCTCAATCTTCAGGATCTTTGCCACTAATTCCATGATTGCAACAGTTAGGTCTGTGCTTGTTTTCAAGGTTTGATCAGCTGAACACTGCCTTTGAGAGGTTTACAGGACATCCTTCAATGTCCTGAGTGTGCTTGGGCAGAAGTCATGCTTTCTGTGGCAGAAAGATGAGCAAGGTATGTAAACAAGTGAACTGCAACTTTTCTGCTTGGAAAGAGACCCCTCCTGGATGAGAATCCTGATTTGGAAATCGTTATGTATACACTCAATGGCTGAGTGCAGCTGTCACAATCAGTGGTGTAGCTGGGCCTTGCCCTTTCCTTGTGACAGGGAAAGGCTCCAGGGTGAAGATCAGCCCTGACTTGGCATGTACAGAACTGGGTTGGTGCAGAGCACTTTTCTGCCACTGAAATGCCAAAATGGCAATGCCTGCTTCTGGTGAACAAAGGTGATCTATTTCTACACCTTCTGCCTGTGATTGGTGACACAGTTTTCCCAGGGCATTTCCTAATGACTCTAAAGATTATTTTTGAATCTGTTACTGTTTCCTGAGGGTGAAAATCTACTCAGTGATTTGCATTGGTGAATTGTGTCCTTCAGTGCATCCTAGCTGTGGTTTTGCTTTAAAAACCACTGCAGTTCATCTGAAGATACCTTTTTTTTGCAGGCCAGGGATGGGCAGTGGTACAAGATGAATGATGCCTCAAGACTTCTCTCTGCCAAAATACATATTTACTTTTCTATGCCAGGTAGGAACAAGTGTGAAAGGATATTCAGAATATACTCTCTCTTGTGTTACTGATCCTGTTGCTGTCTTCTCTGTCTTCTTCTTCTTCTTTGCTTTTTGTCATAGGAGAGAATGGCGATTTGTCCAGGTGAGTTCTTTCTGTCCTGCAGTTAACAGGCCATGTCTTCTCCCTTGCTGTCTGGCACTGAACTGGGCTTGTGTAAATTACCAGTTTCCTGGTCTCTGAGAAGGGCCAGCTGTGAAAAGAGGCAAAATGGACATCTGAGAGTATAAAGATGAGTCACTGCCTGAAAGGGCCAGACATGGCTGGAAAAGTGTGATCTATTTTCCAAAGCCTTGTGCTGTTTCAGTCTTCTGCATGTCATGTCAAATGTGCCAGAAAACGACAGGGCTGAAGCCTCAAGGAGACTGCAAGAAATCAAGGAGGTGTAAAAAGCCCACACACACTGAGGAGAGGGAGAACTTGAATAGAAGTCAGCCAGACATTCTATCCCCCAGGAAATGCAGGGCACCCTCACCACCAGCTGGGAAATGGCCATGAAAACCTGCTCAGCTGTTCCCACAGGGACAGAAAGAGCTTCCTGATGGCAGAAGTTCAGGGAAGGATGGTGCAAGAATGAAGAAAGGGAACTTTCTTCATTCATCATCAAGAGAGGAGAACTAAAGAGTGGCAACATTGCAACAGTTTCCTCACTCCTTGCCAATCATTTCAAGTGTATATGGCTTCTGTATGGATCTGTTCAGTACTGGTCACTAAGCTTCCCAGCATAACCTGCCAGTGACCATTAAAGGCTGCAGATATCTCAGAAGAATGTTGACCATTAAACCTGACATTTATGATTCAATTAATAAAACCATCAAACCAAACCCAGTCCCAACTGGTGCTTCTGATTGTCCTATAGAGAGTTTGGGCCTGTTACTGTTTCCTGAGGGTGAAAAACTACTCAGAAAGGGACATGCAAGAAACAACAGACAGGGTTTTTAAAAATTTGTTTAACTCAAGGCTTCCTATATGAACACTCGCCTGTGATGCAGAAAGGTGGGAGCTTTTACACCTGTATTGAAAGAGCATGCAGCGATCTCAGGGAAAAAGTATTCTCAGGAACAGTGTCTCCAGGGCTCCTGGATCAGAGGCTCAGCTCCCCTGTGTGTGGCTCCTGTTCTCCCAAATGCAACATCCAGGGAGAGATGTCTCTGCAAGAGAGACAGGGAAACCAAGTGACTGCAAACATGGACACTAACAGTCCCCATTAACAGGGGTGTTTGGTTAAGCAGGTGGGTTTCCACTCTTTCTACTCCTTTTTTTGGTGAAGGAATTGGTTTCCTGGCAGACTTGGGCAGTGGAGTTTGATTAAAAAACACAACACTTCACCTTGAAGATGATTCTGCAGTGTCTCACATAAGCTGCAGTTCATATACCTTCTGCCCTATTTCTCAGGTATCCCAGAAATCAGTTTATGAGGCAAAACCAAGACAAACATTTAGGCATTTTTTTATCACAGAAAGTATAAAGCACCAGCTCCTAAGCCTGCGTAGAAGCTCACTCCAAAATGAGGAAAGCTTCCTCTTTGAGCTCCACTCCCAGTGCCTGGGACTGCTGTGCCCTCTAGCAACCTAGTCCAGTGAGAAAGGTGTTGAGAGTAGGGGGTGTGAGCCGGAGCAGGGTCCAGATGAGCATCCAAGTGCAGAGATCTTCCTTGGCACCAGTCATGTTCTGGTGACCTGTATAAAAGTCACTTCTTTAGCAACCTCTGAGAAAGGGAAAGATACTTTACTATAGAATTACCAAGATAAGTTATTTATTATTTAGCTACATGTATTGCATCTGCATAAACAAATTCTTTGTGCCTTGTCCTCTTACCTTCTGAGTTACACATGACATCAAAAAACACCTTTGCAAATCATGTAAAACTTGCAATTCAAGCCAGGTTACTACTCTTCCTCATAATCTGCTCAATCAACAGTGTCTCTCTCCAGGGCCTGCATACTATGAGTGGCCTCAGTTTCCACTTTCCATCTTTTTCATCTTCTCTGTCTTCTCCTGTCTTCCTGGGCTCTCCTCTCTGCTGGGCACTCCATTCAGCCACTCCGTGACCTCACAATGATTTTCACTGTAATTGTGCTGGCAGATGTTACCTAGAAGCACTATCCTGGCTTGGTGATCTGCACATTTTCCTCTTCACTTGCTGCTGTTTGATGCATTTTTTGATCTTATGAGCCCTTGTGCCCTGGCTCCCTCCTGCTGTTAAACCCAGTTCCTGCAAGAGAAGTGACAGTCAGTGTCTCCTCCATGGTGCTGTCTACTCTTTGGTGCCTTACCTGCATGTCTCTGACTTGGACAGGCAAGTGGGAATCATCACAGCACTCCTGGTACAGGCTTGTCTCCGGGTGTGGAACATGGTTCCTGAAAAAGAAAAGCGAAACTCACAGTAATACCTCAGCAATGTCCTGCTGGAAAAGCTGATTGGAAGGCAGCTCTCTAGACTGCCAGTGGGGCAAGTTGGCATCAAGTCCCAAGGCCGGTTCAGGGATGCTCTTGAGTAAAAGTGACACATTCTCAGCTCCACAGCTTCTATGGGCAAGACATGTCAGTGCTTCACCACCCTCACAGGGAAGAATTTTTTCCCAGTGTCCCATCTAACCCTGACAGATATCAGTATGATGCTATTCTCCCTTTTCCTGTCACACCAGCTTGTCCCAAGTCCCTCTCCTGCTCTTCTGGAGCCCCTTTAGCACTGGAACGGGCTCTGATATCTCCCTAGAGCCTTCTCTGGGCTGAACATTTCTGGCTCTTTGTCTGTTGCGAGAGCAGAGCTTCTCAGAGCAGTTCCATGGCCTTTGGACTGCAGGTCCACATCCTTGCTATGCTGGAGAACCCAGAGCTGGAGGCTGCACTGCAGGTGGGGTCCTGTCTGAGCAAAGAAGAGGGGCAGAATCCCCTCTCACCTGCTGCCCATGCTGTGGGGATCAGCCCAGGACACAGGTAGTTTTTGGGCTACCAGTGCACATGGACAGCTTATGTCTAGCCTCTCACCAGCATCCCACATCCTTTTTGGCAGGACTCCTCTCAATCTCTTTATCCCACAGCCTGTATTGATACTGAGTGTTACAATGACCCATGTGCAGCACCTGCACTTGGTCTTGCTGAACCTCATAAAATTCCTATCAGCCCACTGATTGAGCCTGTTCAAGTCCCTCTGGATGGATCTGTTCTCTAGGCGTGTCACCCGCACTGCTCAGGTTGGTGTCCTCTGCCAATGTGCTGAGGGTGCACTTGTTCCCACTGTCTGTTTCATTGATGAAACATTGAATAGCACTGGTGCCAGTACAGACCCCTGAGGGACACCCATTGTCACAGATGTCCATCAGTACTCAGCCATCTGTCCATCCATTCATCTGTCCTTTTGTCCTTCTCTCTGTCCATCCATCCAGGCAACTTAGCATCTGTCCACTCTCCCATCTATCCCATGCCCATCCATCTCACCATTCTTCCCTTTGGCCTGGCTGTCCCTGCTCTCTCCATCTGTCAGCCATCTACCTGTGAGAGACTAGAACGGTTATGGTTAAAGACTCAAAACAGTTGTGCCACATCTGAAGTGTTACATCATACAGTGTAGAACTCCTGCTCCAAGGGAGGTACCTGGATGTTCCCACCAAGCCTGGGCATATATTAACCTATTGATCATTGCATTTTGCAGGCTTCCTCCACCCCTGATATATTGAGACTGTGAACATAATTTTGACCAACTTACATGAAAATTGCAACAACCAGGTTTTGTTGCTGGACCTGCTTGTGGATGATAACTATATAACCATTCTGTTCTTATTCTTTCTTGTTCCTTATAAATTTTCTTTAATGTTATTTATAGGCTTTTATATTACTGATAGGAAAGGTGAATGCTAATGTCTTTACAAACAATTCCATGGGTGTGGGTATGGGTATTAATGTGTTTGAAATGAGTCTTAATGTCTCTACTAACTTTCAGCCACAGGTTTGTTACAGAACCCAGACTGTTTGACTCCTGAAATGGCAGATGGGCCTGCAAAAGTCTGAGTTTCTGAACTTGGGCCAAAATTATATGTTGAAGGGGGGAATAAGTGGTAGGTGGTTCGGGAAGGCTGTACGTTCCTAGTACCTCAGCCAATGGGGAAAGGAAGAGCAACATACCACTGGGAGTTTAGGATAGAAGGAGGCTGCGCCCTCTGAAACTTTGAGAGACAAAACCCAGCAGGCATGTGCCCCAGTGGACTCTCTCCCTTTATTCACATAAAGTTGCAGGACTCCTCTGTTTTCTTTATGGACACTGGCTTTTCATTGTGTGATTTTCTGCCTGTTACTATAGATAATAACCAAAACAACTACATTTTAAAACTTGCTAAAAACCTTATTCTATCTTAATATTCTAAAGTTTGCAAGCAAAAGTTTGTTCTTGAACTTCCTGAGTATTTTGTTGTTTCTCCCACGCACTGCCCAAAGTAAATCAAAAAACCTTCCCCTAAACCCTCCAAGCACACCAGGGCATGACACCACTCCAACCAGTCATCCATCCCTCATCCTGGCTATCTCTGCTGTCCATCTCTCTAGCCATCCATCGCAAACATTATTTCATCTGGCCATTCATTCATCCATCTGTCCAGATAATCCCAGCCATCTGTCTCCCTGGCCTGGCCATCTCTGCTGTCTGTCTATCCATATGGCCTATGGCTGGCCAGTCCTGCTGTCCGTCTTTTCATCCATCCATCCATCCATCCATCCATCCATCCATCCATCCATCCATCCATCCATCCATCCATGACCCTGAAGGGGACGAGCTGGACGATGACTATCTCTGCTGCAAGAGCAAGAGCAAAGTGACACCCTGCAGGGAAGAAGAGAGGGACAGGTGGGAATCCCCACTTCCCCCAGACATAGGATGGGGATGAAGAAGATGATGGATACCATTCTGGAGGAGCAGGACAACCCCTACATGTGTGACAGGAGTTTGTGGGGAGATGAACCCCCAGAACTGACCCCCACCAGCACAAGTACGATGGCATGACTGGGAGCTGAGGAGCTGGGATAAAAGCGTGGATGCGGACTCAGAACCCAGCTTGGCAGGGTTCCAGACCCCATTTGGAGATCCCAGGAGTGCTGGGAGGAGATCACTGTCCTATTGGAGGTCTTGGCCTCTTTTAGGGGGCGTCATGTGTCATAGAGGGGTTCCCTGCCCTCATTTTGGGGGTCCCACGGGTGGTGGGGGGATGCTTGCCCCTTGCTGCATTTGAGGATGCTATGTGGGGATATTGGTGCAGAGTGTCCTGAATGCCTGTGACGCCTCCACTCTGGATTTTGGTTGGGGTCAGCGCTTCTGGGTGAGTCACCAGCAGCTGCTGCTGACAGCGGCTTTGGGGCAGTTCTTGGGTTGTTTTGTCCTTCCCCAAAAATCTCCTTGCAGGGATATCCGACTGGTCTTGGGACTGCTTTGCGCAGCCAGCAAGCTCAGTGCTGGTGGTGAAGCTCAGGGAGAGTGGAGATGGTGCTGGCCATGCCATGCCACCAGCACCGCACAAGAGTAGCCACAGGCAGTTTGTAAGCAGGCAATGCCAAGTGCTGGGAGAGCCTCTGCAGCTCCATTCAAGGCCAAGGAATAGACCACTGAGGAACCACTGGGTCTGGCTGTGCTGAATCTGACTTCCCACTCCAGTTTGGGAAATATCACAGGGTGAGTAGAAGCTCTAGACAAGCCTTGCCAGTTTAAATTTAAGAAATTACTCTGGCCCACAAGTTCTAAGGATAGCACATTAGGTCTATTTATGAGTTATTTATTAAACAGATGGGGGATAACATGAAAGATTTTAATCAGAGTTACTTACTACTCAGTATAAAATTAAAGGAACTACTAATAGATCATAAAGAACAGTGCACAATATCAAGGTACCTATATTAAACCTAGTAAAAGAAATAGTACTGATTAGGAGTCAAATTTAACTTACTACCAAGATGATGATAATGTACACAGAGTTCTTTTACTCAGCCTCCAGAGGAGTAATTGGAAAGCAGGCATCCCTGTTATGGGGAGAAACTACAGACATTTCCAGAAAAATGTGCAGATTTTTGCTTTGTGAAAGTAGCTTTTATAATTTGTGAAGTGAGGTGTCTGTCAGCCAGAAATCTAGTTTATCTTGCCAAATTTCACTTCAACAGTAAGGTGTTTATTGGCAATTGGGAGATGCCAGACTAATGTTAACCCCATGGCATCAAAATAATTCATACAAGACAACTTGCCCTGTTTGAGTTATCTGACCAGTTAACAAGCAACAGATAAGTTTTGTGGAGTGTGAGATGCCCTGCTACAGGAGAAAAAAACAGAAAACCCAAGTTTTCTGGAGTTCATGTTGTTGAGCCTGGGGATGAGGGTCCTCCATGCTGCAATGGTGAAAAGTGACAGGCCTTTGCCAAGAACTCTGCCGGCCCTGGGTGAGTGTCGCCCTGATTCTTGAGTTTTCTTAAGCCTTCTGAATTTACATTCTATTGGGAAACTTTCCCACACAGTTTCTGTAAATAACGTATTGTTTTGCATTCCTCCATGGGGGTGGAGAGACTTGATGTACTAGTGCTTTGTCCAATGTCTTCGGAGAGGTGGCCCGTTCACTCTCCAATCCACTGTCACCTTTGGAGAAGTATAAAAGTTGGAGTCAGAAAATAAACGCTCTTTTTTTTGCCTTGCAAGGTAGCAAGTGGCTCGCGTTGTGCTTTCTCGTGTCCTATAGCGACATCTGGTGACCGCCGAAGTGTATTGCAGCTTAGGCTGGGAACTTGGTGAGGTTTTTCTGTTTGTTTAGAGCGTTGCCTGTTGCTGGTTTTTTTTGGTAATGGAGAGCTTTGAGGGCATTAGGGAGGAGTCTGTGGCTTTGGACGTTTGGAGGGAGGTGCTGAAGCGGAAATGCGTTCCTTTTTATTGGGATGATTTTGAGAGGCTGTTTTTATGGGCAAGGGAGCAGGGATTCTTTCCCAATCTTGCTGAGGCCCTTTCCTGGGAGAATTGGTCTCCCGTGGGAGATCGCCTCCTGGATGCCCTGCTTGATAATCGTTTTGAAGATGTTGGGCCGCTGATGATGCTGTTTAAGAGGTTGGATGCCATTTGGCAGGGGTCTGAGGTTGGCAGTTCTCGGGCTTCTCTGGGGGACCTATCTGTCTTGGAAGGACGGATCTGAGTGGAAGGTTCTGAAAGGTCATCAGGATGGGTCGGCCCAAGTGGTTGAGTTGAGGGCCGCTGTTATGGCATTTGAGAGATTTTCCCAGGAACCTTTCAATTTGGTCACGGATTCTGCCTATGTGGCTGATATCGCACAGCGGTTGGGTCACTCAGTTTTGAAGGAGGTCAGTAACCCTGCCTTGTTTCATTTACTGAAGACCTTGTGGTGTGCTATTCAGGCCCGGGTTCATCCGTTTTACGTTCTGCATGTGAGAAGTCACACCAATTTACCAGGGTTTGTAGCAGAAGGTAACGCGAGGGCTGACAAGTTGGCTAATCCGGCGTGGGTAGCACCCCAGCCTGATACACTCGCACAGGCCAAGGCATCACATGGGTTTTTCCATCAGAATGCACATACTCTGCAGAAGCAGTTTCAGCTAACGCCAACAGAGGCTCGTAGCATTGTTGAGTCCTGTGACGACTGCCATGCACTTGCTCCGCCTTTACCAGCAGGGGTAAACCCTAGAGGCCTTAGGGCCTTGGAGCTTTGGCAGACTGATATCACCCAGATTGCCGAGTTTGGCCGGGTCAAGTATGTGCATGTCACGGTGGACACGTTCTCCTCTGCGATGTGGGCTTCCGCTCACACTGGAGAAAAGGCTCGTGATGTCATTGCCCACTGGAGGCAGGCCTTTGCCGTTCTGGGCATACCTTCTGCTGTGAAAACCGACAATGGTCCTGCTTATGCATCGCAGCAGGTGCGGCAGTTCCTGCAGTTGTGGGGTGTGTCACACAAGTTTGGTATCCCCCATTCTCCAACCGGCCAAGCTATTGTAGAACGCGCTCATGGTACTCTGAAGCGGGTTCTTCAAAAACAAAAACGGGGAATGCAGGGTGAGACCCCGCACAGTCGGTTGGAGAAAGCATTGTACACCATCAATCATCTTACAGTGCAGCAGAATTCAAATAACCCTGTCATTTTAAATCATCATCTCTCATTGCAAGCTGCAGACGAGGCACATCAGCCTCGAGCAAAAGTTCGAGTGCGGAATTTAGTCACTAAACAATGGGAAGGTCCCTATGACCTTATCGCTTCGGGGCGCGGGTATGCTTGTGTATCCACAGATACTGGGGTACACTGGGTACCTTCAAGGTGTGTTCGTCCTGATCTGCAACCGCAGAGACAGAATCCGACAAACGGGCAACATAGAAGCCGTGACCAAACTGAAAGTCATCAAATGGATGGATCATCGAGTGATGACTCAGTTGAAGATGACGGTGGGTGATCACTCTGATGATTCCTCCACGAACAGACACTGAACCTTATTCATTTTTCCTTTTCTTTTAAACTAAAAAGGGTGAGATGTCGCCCTGATTCTTGAGTTTTCTTAAGCCTTCTGAATTTACATTCTATTGGGAAACTTTCCCACACAGTTTCTGTAAATAACGTATTGTTTTGCATTCCTCCATGGGGGTGGAGAGACTTGATGTACTAGTGCTTTGTCCAATGTCTTCGGAGAGGTGGCCCGTTCACTCTCCAATCCACTGTCACCTTTGGAGAAGTATAAAAGTTGGAGTCAGAAAATAAACGCTCTTTTTTTTGCCTTGCAAGGTAGCAAGTGGCTCGCGTTGTGCTTTCTCGTGTCCTATAGCGACAGGTGAGAACCTGGGACATCCCTCAAATCTTGCAGTACCAAACTCCCCTGGCAAATAATCAGTTGAAATGCTCAGTTTTTGGCAAAACTATTTATTGAGGGATCAATTTGAGAAACATAGTCGGTAGCATCTGGCACAGTATGTTCTGTTGCAGCCCTGACTGTGGTTTCCACCAGCAAGGCTCTGGGTTTTGGTGGTTGGGGTGCTTGAGGGTGAGGAAGAAGAAGGTCTCTTGCAGGCTTTGGACTGCTGGAGTGTATGCAAGGGTTGCTGTGGGGTCTCAGTGGTGGTAGGACTGCCACTGTCTCTGTGGTAGGAGGAGCATGCTGAGTACTGCAGGGGCATCCCAGTCCAGCCTCTGGAGCCCATTCTCCAAATCCCTGGAGGACTGGGGTTGCACCACATCACCAGAGCTCTCTGTGGTGGGAACTGGGGGGAAAGTATGGGGAGGGGGTGAGTGTTACCTCTTTTTTTGTGGGAACCTCAGGCACCTGGGGACATGTGGCAGCAGGAAACCCAAGTATGTAAGGGACCCCAAGCACCCTTTGTCCTAGAGTGCCTATGCCCAGGAGCCCCCTCCCTGTACCTTGGCACATGATGAGCTGTAGCAAGTTCCAGGCAGGTTCTGTTCCATGATGCCACTGACTGGGTTGTCATACCAGTGGCTGTACCATTTCATTTTGATGGGAGACTTCAGCACAGCCAAGTGACCCTCAGTGGGCTCCATCTGAGGACACCAGTGATGCTGACAGTACAGGCTTCCACAGAGGGCAAGACTGGGGACTTGACAGACATCCTGCTGACGCTTGTCACCAGTGTCCCCAGCTGGCTCAGCCAGGCTGAGCCCATCCATCTGGGCAGTGACCTTCTGGATGCCTCCCTGGCTGGCAGAGATGAAGGCACCTTTCTCTGAACCTGGGAAGATCTTGGCTATGCTGGAATCCTTACAGGATGCACTCAGGTCTTCCTGACTGAGCTGGTAGTACTGGGTAGCCTCAAAGCTGGCCTTCATCTCCTGCATGGGGATGAAGAGATGATTAAGAGCAGCACTGGGTGTGATTCGCTCATGCGAGTCCCAAGTGAGCATCCTCTTGACCAGCTCCACCATGCTGTACAGATCACAGTGCTTGGCTAGCTCCTCCTGATCAGGATCAGACATCGGGCAGATATTCACCACTGCCAACTGATCCAATGAGGAAAATATATGCTCCCTCCTCTCCATTGGCTTTGCCATCACCTTCCCTGGTGGTTTGAACTGCCAGGTACCAGTGGAACATGGCACACGTTGGAAGAAGGACTGTGTCTTCTGGGCAGCGCAGAGCAGCTCACCCTGGGGTAGCCCCAAGGTGGAGGAGATGTAGCATACCTGGTCATATTCGTCATTGCCAGGGTAGAGTGGCCAACCCAAGTGAAGCTCGGCCATCACACAGCCCAAAGACCAGATGTCCACTTTTTCGCAGAAGGGCAACCCCAGCAAGATCTCTGGTGCCCGGTAGAAGCGTGTTTGGATGTAGGGCTCCTGGACATGGCAGACCTCAGGGAGGAGGATAGCTGAGCCAAAGTCAACAAGCTTGATGTGGAATGGATAGCGTGCATGGTCGACCAGCATGATGTTCTCCGGCTTAAGGTCAGCATGGATGATGGAGAGCTCCTTCAGCTTGACCAGTGCCACCAGCACCTGTGCTGTGATGGTACGGGTGTGTCGGACTGGCAGCGGTGAGAAGTTGTTCTGCTTTTGGAAGTCAAAGAGGTTTTTCTGCAGCAGCTCAAAGACCAGGTAGGTCCAGACCGTGTCACTGAAGGACTCGAGGAAATGGCTGATGTGGGAGTCCTTTGTGTCCCCCTCCCGCAAAGCCTGCAGCAGCTTTAGTTCATTCTTCACTATTTGGCCATCATGATCACAGTTCTTCAGGATCTTGATGGCCACCATCTCCCCAGTGCTCCTGCACTGCCCCTGGATCACCTGTCCAAAAGTCCCCTTCCCCACCATGGCCATTATGTCATAGCACTCGGCACCTACCACTAGTGTCACCATGGTGGGTTCGCTCTTCACCAGGGGCTCAGGATCCTCCAGTTCAGCACCTAGTGGGGACTGGAGACACCTAACTGTCCCAACCCAGCCTTGCAGCACTGTAGGTTCCAACATCACCATGATAACACATGATGTCACAACAGAAGCATCCTGGGTGGAGGAACCCCCTGAAACCAACACTGCCCCCCCCCAAATCCAGCCCTGCTGTTCCCAAATCCATCTACAAACCAAATAACATATCCGTGGTCCCCCCAGAATGGATCCCACCCCCCTGAAAACTCATTTTCAACCCCCTAGCCCCTTTCCCTGGTCCACCAAAACCCATCGAAGTCCTCCATGACCCATACACAGCCACCCAAAACCAATTTCTAGTCCTCTAAATGCAGTCCCTTGTTCCCCAAAACCCATCCCAGGCTCCCAAAACCTCTCCCTAGTCTCCCAAACCCATCTAAGCACCCCATGATACATCCTGAACCCCCAAATCTCCAGCCCAACATAACCCACCCCAGGCCCCCCAAACCAAGCCCGAGCCCCTTGAAATCCACTTCTGTCCCTAAAATACAGCCCAAATCCCACCGCCCCCCGCCTTTACTGCCAGCCCCAGAAAACCTGTCTTTGACTCCCCAAACCGCATGCCCAGACTACACAGACATTCTCATGACTTTTTTGGGGGTTAACATTTATTTCAGCCAAGTCAAGTGCAAGGAGCTATTAAACACCCCCTCCTGCTTGAAAGTATGCATAAAATCTTTGAACACCCTCCAAAAAAGATGGATTTGGGGGAGTGAGTTAAAGAGGATTTGGAGCAGTGATGCTCCACCACTCCATCACCATTTTAAGGGATCGCCAAAGATTCCCATGTTTAGTGAGGGTTCATTGCTCACCACAGAGCTGGGGGCTCAGTGCTACCTTATGCAGCTGAAATCTAAGGGTATCCTCACCCCTGAGTCACCCCAGATTAAAACATGGGGTGATTCCATCATCACTGGCTGGTGGTTGAAATGGGGGCCCCTGAGGAAGAGCTCAACATTGGGTAACAGCCTCTTTGTCCCCTTGTGCTGGGTGATGGAGGGCTCTGGTGGGGACCCCCCAGAGGAGAAACCAATGCTGGGCACCCAATACCAACACTAGACTTTGCGATCTCCAGCCCTGTTGACATGGGGCTGTAAGTTCTCCACCTGTTTGTTTTCTCCTTTCTCTTTCAGTTTTACCACTACTGCTGTCTTTACACTGCCCATCCTCATTCTCCCATCACCTTCCAACCCACTCCCAACCAAAACTATACCAAATTTTTGCAATTTGATTCTCGACCAGCATCCCAGAATAGTATCCTTCCTGATGGTCTCCTTCATTGTTCCATCCATCCCCAGTGGTGCAAATTCAATACTGGCACCTTCAACACCTGCATGCTGGTGGGTTTTGGTATCCTCTGCCTGACTGGATCCTCTAGTTGTTGCACTGAGACAGTGAAACCCACCAGTGGAGACAGTGAACCACTCGGTCAATGGCTGCCCTCACTGATCTCCCACTGTTCCCCTGGTTTTCAGTTTGAACTGGATTGTGTCAGGAGACTATGACTTCTTCCTTCCTGCTGTGACAATGATTGAACTCCGAGGTCTTTCCCCATGTCTCATTATTTTGGGGTCCTGTTACGATCCGGTTTAAACCCAGAAGTGCAAAGAATACTAAGTCTCTATGTATAAAATGGAAAGAATTTGAAGGTTTGAAATATACCCAAAAATGCGATTAAAACCAAATGGGGTTAGATGTTGGTGCCAAAAAATGGTTATATTTTATTTAATAGTAGAAGAGGGAAAGAAAAGAAAGAAAGAAAGAAAGAAAAAGAAGAGAAAGAAAGAAAGAAAGAAAGAAAGAAAGAAAGAAAGAAAGAAAGAAAGAAAGAAAGAAAGAAAGAAAGAAAGAAAGAAAAAGAAAGAAAGAAAGAAATTGCCAAATGTCAGAAATCTTAAAAATTATAAAATATTTGTGTGTATGATATTGAAGTGCCAGGGCTGTTACTAGATATAGCAGTGCTAAATTGAACATATATATGAGACCAAACCAATTAAACTCATTGGACGACGGTTTCTCAGAATCAAGAGTCTGTTATTTCAGTCTTAAACGACTTACTGCTACTGCACAGTATGAATACTATCATAGAATAATAGAGTGGTTTGGGTTGGAAGGGACCTTAAAGTTCACCAAAATTCACCCCCCATGTCATTGCTAAGGACACCTTCCACTAGACTGCGTTAAGCTCAAAGAGCCATTCAAGCTGGCCTTGAACACTTCCAGGAATGGGTCACCCACAACATCTTCTAATGTCTCACAAGCCTTATGGCAAGGAATTTCTTCTCAATATCCAAACCAAACATATACTCTTCAGGTTTTAAGGCCATCAACACTTGTCCTATCACCATGTGTCCTTGTGTAGTTCATCTCCCTTCTGCTGCTAGGCTGCCTTCAGATACTGGAGGGCTGCTCTAATATTTGCCCAGAGTCAGCTCTTCTTCAGGTTGAGAAGATGCCTGAAGGACTCAGGCTTCATTACACACCCCCTGTGCTACACTGGGGGCTCAGACCATTCTTCTTATTAGACTTGTTGTGTGATGCTCAGCCACTGTTTATTGTTCTTCATTGTGGTACAGGTCATAAATAGTTGATTGCTTTAATAAAGACACACTTGAAATGAGAAGAGCTAAAATTTAAAGCCAAATGAATTGGAGAAAGATTCCTAAACCTGTGGCCAGTTACCCCAGCCCATCTATTGATTGTAAATGACATTCCTTGCAGATGTTATGATCCATGAATCAAAGCCAAGGGATGTATACTACTTAAAACAGATGTTCTACCTGCTTCCTGGAATATGCCCTTATGGTTATAAAACAATAGCCTGAACATTAATAACAATGGATTACATCGTGAAGTAACAAAGTGCTTTGGTTGAAAGTAAAATGCATTTTAAGGAAGTGAGTTTGGGGGCTAGCACAGTAAGATCTCAGAAACAGAGGGCCAGCTTAGTTATCTGGTTCAGAGACAAGTGAAGCAATTCAGGCATGTCCTCCTGTGAAAATAGGTTACAGATCCTTCTGCACAACAGTTAACAAGCAGCATCAGAAATGTGTGCAAATAAAATACTAGCCACTACAAGTTTACCATCCGTGATTTCTAGGGCAACTCAGACTGATAGCAGTGGTTTAGTTGTTGTGCCTGTTAGAACAGACAGAAAAGAATGAGGAAAACTATTTTTTCCAACTAGTTTGTTTCAGTACAAAGACCATTTTCCTGCCCTCAGGAGACAGCAAGAACTGTCAACAACTGAACTGCTGTTCACTGTAAATGATATGAATCGCAAATCTTTCATTTCAAATCAAATTTAAAATGAAATTCATAACTATAACCAGATAGTGCTATTTAAAGATTAATGTACTGTAAATTCTAAAATATTCCCAGAGATAGCTATTGTGTCCAAAGTCTGTCTAAAAGTCTAAACGTCCTGGTAAAAAACATGTACACAACTGAAGTGCCTAAATTATAGTCTCTTTTCAGATTAATGATATTCTTCAAGCTCATCACTTCTTCCAATTGATTTCCTTAGAAAACAGGAATGTAACTTTTTTAGTTCTATTTAAAAAAAATGACAGTGACAAGAGTTATTTGTCCTCCCTATTTTCTGAAAAGGCTGAACATCAAGCCTTAAGGACTTTCTCTTGGATTTTATTTCTTAGAAAACAAAAATTTAAAGGAGTGGCAGAGAGAATGGGAGCCTCAAGCAAAAGAATTTAGGCTTCTAATTCTTAGATTGTCTTCTTACTTACCTATGACAATAAGTGGAAAGAGAATAGATTCGAGTTAGCAGCTGTTGGACATTTGCACATACTCTTCCACTGAAGAAGAGCTCAAGGATGCCCTTCTGCTCGACAAGGTACAGCTTCCTTCAAGGCACATCCACCTGCTGTGGCATGGAGCTCTCCATGGGCTATGTGTAGGTATGTGTTCCTCCACGGTTCTGCAGGGACTGCTGGGAGACAACCTGCTTCACTATGATGTTCTCCAGGGACTCCGGGGGATTCTCGGCTCTGTCAACTGGAGCACCTCCTCCTCCTTCTTGTCTCACCTTAGTATCACAGAGCTGCTTCTCATACTCTTTTTTTTCCTCACTTGTCACTGCCTAGTCATATGTTTTTCACTTCTTACAATATCTTTTCACAGAGACGGATGGGCTCAGTTGCTCATGCTCTAGCAATGTCTCTTGCTAGAAAATGACATGCTACACAAAACCATGCTTTTATAGAAAAGCATACTGGAAGTAGAAACCTGCTGCTAAAGAACCAGAAAATTGGCAATGCTTCATTGGAATATGTCCCCTCATTTTGCCTTCTTTCTCTTTAAGATCTGGAAAGAATACTGGGCATAAGACAGTGTTGTTTCAAGGAAATGGTTTTTTAGGATTATAGGGTGCGTGTTCAAATTTCTGTTGAGAAAAAGCACTTTGTCTTTTGTGATAAATATAATGACACAGTAGATGCTACAGAATCTCACTAGTGTCAAATTCTGAGCAACAATAGCAGATCAAAATCTGGTGAGAGCAAGCAATAGACCTTAAGTGGGCAGGACAGAACTACAGAGTCATAGAATCTGCTGAATTGGAAGGGGCCCATCAGGATCTTCGAGTCCAGCTCCTGGCCCTGCATGGGATCATCCTCAAGAATCACACCATATGCTTGAGAGCAATGTCCAAAAGCTTCTTGAACTCAGACAGGCATGATACTGTGACCACTCCCTGGAGAGGCTCTTCCAGTGCCCAGCCGTCCTCTGGTTCAAAAACTTTTTCCTGCTATCCCACCTAAACCTCCCCTGACTCAGCTGCATGCCATTTCCTCGAGTCCTGTCCTTGTAGACCTCATTTGAATACTTTCTAACACCTTCATGTCTTTTTTCATTGTGGCACCCAAAACTGCCCCAGCACTCAAGGTAAGACTGCCCCAGAGGAGAACAGAGCAGAACAGAGCAGAACAATTGCCTCCCTTGCCCAGCTGGCGATGCTGTGCCTGATGCAGCCCAGGACAGGATTGGCCCTCCTGGCTGCCAGGGCACTGCTGACTCCCATTCAGCTTGCCATTGGCCAGAAACCTGGGTCTCTTTCTGCACTGCTTCTCTCCAGCC